TACTGGCTAAGCACTTTGCATAATGTCTACATTGTTGAAAAATGATCAAAATATAGACCCACTGTAGTAGCAGAAGGAAACATAGCAAGGTTCTTCCCCCAAAATGATTATATTAATAATTAAATTTAACTAAAATACTTTAAAGAAGTCATATCCTATAGTCAGCATTTCAACTTAGAAGGGTAAATTCTTAAATAAATGAAATTCATATAGGTGTTTTTAAGTAAAGGAGTTAACATTTAAGAAAAATTTCCTTGGTACTGAGACAAATTGATGTAGTAGTAACTTGTGCCAGTTTAAAATGTTTCTAAAAGTCATTTGGTTTCAGTTTAGTTTATATTTAAAAATCTGGACACTGAAAAGTGGTTGAGTGGACTACTATCTTATTCATTAGTATTTATTAAAACATTACAAAGAAAATACACGCTTTTAAAGCTTAAAATTCATAAAGACTAATGCATAATTTAATGTGTAGATACAAAACACAGATTTTATCTGATTTCCACATGTAATTAATGGCCAGTAGAGATGTGGTGCTTCAGTTCCTTACGAGAAAGTAGGAGATAGTGACAACTAACTCTCTTTTCACTAATAGGTCCTGCTGCATTTTCCCATGATTCTTCTGGAATCTATGCTTATTTAGAATGTGCACTATAATGGTTATGAGAATTTCAGATTTATTAAAAAGAGGCATCATTCAATACATATCACTGGGGGTGTCAAACTCCACATACAATTGCAAAATGCAGCAACATTACAATTTACTATTGTTTTCATCTTCTGGGACTTGAATATCAGAAATATTGGCAGGTTGGTGAAATTCCAATTCAGATATCTGAAAGTAGGTGCAGAAAACATAAAACATCTCATTCAGTTCATTGTACTCTGGCTTAATATTCCATGGGAACTGTTGATTGTGCTTATATTTTCTCATGTCCAAACATAACCCAATGTATGGACATAACCTACTGGCTTGTGGGCTCATCTGTCTCCTATTTATAAAAGAATCACATTGCATTTCAGTTGACACTCCTGCTTATTCCCAGTAGTATCTTCTAGGTCCTGTCATCCTGGGCAAAGTGCCAAGACCCTGTCATGCTTCGGGGCTTGGAGATGTGAAAAGATTCATCTTATGACAGAGGAAGCATCAGAGGTGTGAGACCACACTAGAGATTTTATTTCTACCTTGGCCATGAACCAGCCTCATTCTTTCTCTGTAGACCTCACCATAACACAAGAAGAAACAATCAGGGCTGGAAGCTGTAGAAATGAAAGCAATTGTGTGCTTTAAGAACAGTATATTTAATAGAAATGAAAGCCCCTGTCTTCATTTAACTGAGCTAGTGCAGAGACAGAGACTTCCAGAAGATGGTAGAAGGCTGACAAGAAGAAGGATTAGGGAAAGAGTATATTTTCAGTAAAAGAAATACAAAGTTACTTGTCAACAACTGATGTGTTAAAGGACTAAGTTGAATTAGAAATTTGTTCCCAAGAGATAAGGGCAACTGGGTTAGAGAATTCCCAAGAAGAGCAATGCAAGACACCATGAAAGATTCCTAGGTGAGGTTGTTTCAGAGGCCACTGGCAGTTGTTACCATAACAGCAGTGGCTAACGCTTATTATCATTGCCTAATTGCTTTATGC